GAACAATGATAATATGGGCAATTTGCTCAGAAAGAGATATTTTACAAATGCAACCCCCACCCCCCACCCCACAAAACAGAAGTTGCTGGGAACACGCATCAGGTCAGGCAGCATGTATGAACACTTCCTGAATCAGTGTGCCCTCAATCTGATCAAAGCAAAATCTTACACCCTTAAACCCAGCAAATGTGTATTTGGAGCGGCCCTTCACATTCAGACTTCATGCTGTATGTTCTAGGTTTCTTTAAATGCGTTATTAATTATGAATACAATCCAATTTTTAAAAAATCCTAATTTCAATCGCAATATTTGATTGGACACTCTAACGGCTCAAAGTGATAAATAAGAAGATAATTATTTTCACAAAAAGGTCAGTTTGACATTTACAAACTCCGTATCATCTGCAACCTGCAGTGAAAGTTTCCATTTTCATCTCCATATTCATTCTCTTCCCAAGTTGCAAACTGGGCTCGTGCAAACACCATCTGACAGATGTGGGCTGCAGCCTTTGCACAGGCCCCTTGCCAATGCTTCCGTGAATAAGTTAGTAAACGGTACACGTGAGTGACAGCATTGGCTTTCCAATCCAAGTTTCCCATCAATGTTGCCAGATGCTCGGCTGCCAACTCAAGTCTTAATACTTTGGCACAGCATGTTAGAGCAGTAAGCTGCTGCATCATTTGGCTGTCAAACACTTATTAAAGCCAAACAAATGCCTAGCTCCTCCATTAAGTATATGATTTGGTTTCTTGCTCCCCCCCCCCCCCGAAGACTGCACTCCGACACTAAGTGCCCCAAAACGCATGACAGGCGCGATATAAATGTAAGTTATTATTGTTAATTTTGCCATTTGAAATAAATCTTAATTTGTGGCGTAATTATTAATAATGATTATTAGAATTATAAATACTGATTAGAATTGCTTCAAATTTAAATGTGATAGTTACGCTTGTATCCAAAATTGGTCACATGCTTACACAAGTGTTATTCCAAATAATTTATTTTCTGGTAATTCTTGACACCACAAAATTTAAAAAAAAAACTTTCTGAATTTCCACTCCCAATACATGTACAAAAGTTCCAAGTTGTCCTGGTCTAGCCATTATGCAAAGTTTATTCAATGAAACAACTGCCTCAGCAATTTTGTCCAGATCAGACCACGCGCAATATGTCCCTTTGCCAAGAAACTGCAGCCGTCTCGTCAACTTTAGCAGTTAAGCTATTATTGGCAATACCACACAGGTCTCACATTTGGCAGCTGCCAAGTATGGTGGTGAGGTGGTCCTGTCACGATAAATGCTATGTCAATTATTCACGGATCTAAAATCCAATTCATTTAGCGTTTGTTTAAAGGCTCAGGAATGTTTCTGGATGAAATGACTTGTCCTGCAATTGAACAATATTCTGATCATAGCCTTATCGGAAACTCTGCAGTTGGCATTAAACAAAGCTAATCTATTAAAATGGCATTTTACTAGATAATTGCCAAATAGTACAGGGCTTTTCAAGGTCAAGCTGCTCAGAATCTAGTCTCTATTAGTGCCCATTGCATTCTTGTAGTGTTGCTTCACTCCTTTCTTGTCTAGTTGCCCCTTATTTTTGGGTCCAACCATTCTCTTCCCAAGTCAAGATAAGCAAGTATCTAGATCCCTGCAAATTCTTTTCCGACAGGTACAAACAGGCCATGTGAACAGTTTTAACTACATTTTTGAAATTTCAAACATGTGAATAGGACAATGAGCAACAGTGTTTTTCGATTCCACTTATTTCAATATACAAGGGAGCAAGGACATAGAGTCTGCAATTTTAGTTATCGGGAAAACAAAACCTTGCAACTCAAACCACACACCCCTACCTCACCTGGTTTGGATTCAGCAGAACGTGAGTGGCGCCGGGTGAGGATTGGGTTGATAGGGTCATGGAGGCTGTTGTGGGAGAGGACACGAGCTGCAGAGTTCTGGATGATCTGCAGCCTGTGGAGGGAGGAGTTGGGGAGGCTGACAAGCAGGGAGTTGACGTAGTCGAGCCTGGATGTCATGAATGCGTGGATGAGGGTCTCGGTGGCCTGCGGTGGGAGACGGGCAATGTTGCGGAGGTGGGTAAAGGCAGAGCGGGTCATGGCACAGATGACAGCAGAGACAGATGTGAAAACCTACGTCATGCTACAAAATGCTGGACTACCAGTATTACTTCAATGACATGCTTGTACAAGTTAAGCATTGGCAATAAGATAGCACCTAAAAACCCAATCTGCTGACAGTTTTCACAATTGATTCTTGCCCCACTCCAGGTTCGTTCACTTACAGATATGGGGTGGGGTTATTTCTAGGAACCTGAGTGTGCAACAATATACCGGTAAAGCAAACGGTTTTAACCTGTCACAGAAATAGTGTTTACAATACCAATTGGAAAAAAATTGAAGCGAACGGTTTGCCCCAGATACTGTGCACTGACAAATTACAGTATGAAGCGAAATTTTCCAATCTGGGCCACAAGGAGTGAGTACAGCACTCCAAGACCCATCAATAGGCAGCATGGATTTTAGATCTTAAAAAACACAACACGTGCTCTATGCAAAAGGCACAACCATGTAAGCAGCAACAAGATATTTAATGACTGCTCTCATTCAAGGAGGGGCTGGGTGCAGTCATTTATTGCAGGACAAGTGGAATGTTGGCTCCTTTTTTTATCTGCCAAAAATAAAATCTGTCCAAAAAATGTAACCCTTCCTGTTTGACTTCACTCATTTTCTCCTCCAACAATTTGTCTGATAACACACATTCATTTGTACCCAAAGCAAAATTTGGCTTGGAGAGAAGAGATTTGGCTGGCAAAACATTTCTCTAGAGGTTTGCACAGCAGGTGGAAAAAAGAGAGAGAAAAGACACCAAACATCCTCTGCTCTGGAATAATAGTGTTTTCTAACGCATAAAAATGCTTTACTATCAACCGACTGAGTGTGAACAGTGCACATTGTTATTGTGCTGATTAATGATGTTTATGTGATGCTTTCCTTGCTGTTCGCCCCAGCATGAGCCAGTTTGCGATCGCCCTTATATCATTTGTAATACCAGCTACGTCTCTTCAGTATGTCTGTATTACTGCAAAACAAGATATTATAGGCTGAAAGATGACCCCCATCAGACAACAACAAGATCATTCTAAAAACCTTCAGAACACTGCAAATTCATCCCTGGTGCTTATTTCTAGAAAAAAGAATGCTCATTTTGGGACACTCAATTTGAAGTGAACACTCAACTCCCCACCCCTCCACATCTTCATCTTGATAATACTGCACTTGGTGTTTTGCAATGCCTTTTGCGAAATACTGCTGCCCTGCAATAAATGTGCATTGCGGGAAAACAGCACAAAAGAAAATATTTGACTTTTTGCCCTGAGCATTTCAAGGTAATTCATTGTAATTCAACGCAGGCGGTATTGGAGAAGTAATGGAGGATAGGGGGGCGCTGGTAAGAGTTAGAAGACAATTAATACGACTAATGCAAAGAAATCCAAGTGGTTTTGATAGGAAATTGAAGGGACCCGGGTGGATGTACCACTTAGGTGATTATACGATTTATAAAGAGTTTTGCTGGAGTCGCACACCTCACCGTCTCAAACAGGGGCAATGATTTCAGCAGAGGTTCCCACAAAGGTGGGAGAAACGCAAGTAAGAATGCAACCCATTACAGAGCAAACCATATTAACTTGTGTGACCTTATATAGCCATAACCACCACACAAAACAATTTACATACAAACATATGAAAGATTACATGACTGCAAGGTTATGATAATGGTTTCAGAGCTGAGTCAAAAACATTCCTCGTCAGGTATCCATATTGCTTCCAATAAATGAACCCATATTTTGTGCGTTAAGCAAAAAAGTGCCTCACAAAATTAATAAACGAGAACTTGCAGTCATTCAGGGTTAATTGGTTAGTACACAATTAAAATCAAACGCTCGAAAATATTATACTTCTAATAAATGAAGATACGGACGATTAATTTGTTGTTGTAGCTTGTGCAGCCAATCAAAACCCTCCATGTCTGCAAGACCTTTCCTGAGCCATCTCAAATTTTACTCCAACTGCAAATCAGGACCTGATAACTGAATGCGCCTGATCAGTCACTAACCACCTCACACCATATTGCCTATACCAATAAGGATTAAAACAGTCACACTTTTGTAGAATAATAGCTCTTTGTAACAATAAGCTTCGGCAGTGTTTCAACCCCCTCCCTCTTACCCATTCTAGATGTGCTCCTCACCTTCCCCAGCTGAGTCCTACTCCATGAAATAGCACTAAAATCCTGTCCAATTTTTTCTCCTGTGAGCACATTATCTCCACTTGGTACCTCTGATCACCACTTTTTTCCCTTCCTAAAAGCATTGACTCCTTTTTGTTCCACTGGAGTAGACATGTTGGTCATGGTCCAGCACCTCGCCCAGAGTACAATTAAGTTATTCATGTGTGATCCATGAACATGAGTAATGGGAGGCTCTTTGAACTAGTGCCAAACCTAGTCTCCAGCTGAAATCCACACACACACACAAAGGTATGTTGGGAGCAGGAAGCCTGAATGTTTTTTCCCTCCCATTCTGCCATTGTCCTGGCTTGGTCGACTAAATCAACCAAGATCAGAAATTGATCTAGCACAAATAACTGTGGTATAGAAGTCAGTTCCTGTCTTTCACTGGTTAGTTGTTTACTCACTGGTTATTTAAAAATACTAATGGACAAACATAAGAAGCTCAAAATCAAATCAATTCTCTGTAACACTTTTACTAAAAGGATGTGTTTATTAATACTAGCATTTGAAATTGCGCCTTATCAGGTCACTGACACTTCTCAAAGTGCTTCACTGAATATATTGTAAAGTGAATTGGCTGTATAATTTAAGGATAAAAAAAAAATCTTTCGTCGAGCCTCCAAAAATCTGAGAACTGAAACATGAATTCCGTCCGACCTAGAAACAATAGATGAACAGGTGAATTACCTGCAACACTAACTGCTGCCAAGCAAACGACTCGCTGTTCCCAGCTTTGGAAATGCTCGCTCTGTCTGAGGGCACACTGGTACGCTCAAGTTGCGTGGAAACATTACGCCGCTCTTCCTCAAGTGCTCGGGTCAGCCTCTCAAAGCGGGCCTCCTGCTCTTTAACCGAGGCTAGAATGCTAGCAGCAGATCTTACATCATAATCATCCATGATTGTCCCGAGTTTCTTGCCTGGTGTCTAGTCAGGCAAGGATTAGAGATTAGCAGGTCAGTCAAGGTAGTTATTTTTTTTTTAAAAAAAGCAGAAATGAGCATGCACAAGGTTAATAAAGAAAAGTGACACAAACTAAAGTTTAGTAAGTTTCTAAAGTGAAAGATGTGGAATCACCTGCTGCAGCTACAAGGAAGCCTAGGAAAGCACAGCAGCAGCCTCAAGCAGAGTCAGAAAGCTGCAACAGAGAAGAGGAAGGAAAAAAAAAAGGTTACAGGACCGGAATGATAAAATAAGGTCAGCTGAAAGATCAAAGTTCAGGGTCATAAAAATACAATTCAATTCCAACTGGAAAAGCTCCAACTTCCCAATACGCTTGGCATAGTTATACCAGAGAGAACCCACTTATGTAACAAAAATGATCATTTTAAAAAGATACAACAATTTGTTGGTTTAGCCACTGAAATAAACTAGGGATCATAAAGGAACTTGGCTTTGACAATGAAGCCCAGCAGCCAGTTTGAAACCTGATGAAAAATGACTGAAGTGAAACTAGGAAACAAATCAGCATCTAAAAGTAAAATATAGTCTAACGTTTCAGATAATGATATTTCATTAGAACTGAAACAATGCATTAAAATCAGCAGATGGTAAGTGTTTGGGTAGGTGTTTTAATCCCCCAAGATGAAAAGCCATTACTGGGAGGATTGGGGGGGCGGATAGAAGCAGTTGAGTCAGCAGGAATATGGGATGACATTCAAGAGAACGAGAGAAATAACGCTTCTAAAGAGATCGAGTTGGTCACGGTCCCTCCATTTCAGTTCCAACAGTCAAACCTGAAATGTTTCCATACTAATCTCTTTAGATGCCAAGTGACATGCCGTGAATTGCCAGCAATGTTTCTAGTTTAGAAATCCAGTATTTAGTTATTTCCATTTCTACAGATGGCTGAGAATTGTGACATGCAATTTCTGACTGACTTTATGCTTAAATGGAATATTCCATCTGAACACTTGATAGTACATATGGTAAACATCGGCAAAAATCACTGCTGTAAATGGAGTAGCTTTAGTGTTCAAATAAAATGACAATACACAGGAAGTTTGAGTCCTGTAAACATCAGATAATGGTCCAATTGGTGGTTCCTTGGAACTGAACTGGTGATATGTTTGACAACGCAGTGTGGGAATCGAGCCAACCCTCTATAGCGATCTCCAGTCCAGTTCCTGAGCCTGGCAGGTTTGCAGTATCCAAATCAGAACACACTGATGACAGGACATCCCAGCCTGGATCATTGGCAGGCTTTGAAGGACAGAGAATCCTCCCACACTTGTTAGCCCTGCAAGCCAAAGTCCAAACGGGTAGGGTGGTCCTAGACGGATAAGCAGCAGGAAAGCTTGCCAGACAGTGCTCTCAATGGCAAGCTATGTGGTTTTTAGCGGGTTAGACTCCAGCAGCACCCAAATGCATACTTTGGGGTCCCCAAGCTTTGGCTCTCGCCAAACTGCGCCGAATACTTTCTGGAATAAGCTAAACAGGATGCAACCCTCGAGAAAGTGTGCATTTTATTCCAACAGATATCTCTGCAACTTCCATGTACAGGTGGGGTGCATGGAATTCTCAGTTTGGTTTGGATGGTGATGGGTTTATGCATGTGTCAGACACCCGGCTGACCAAACAAGATTAACAATTTGTCTGCAGTTACTTCAAGCTCCTCAAAAATCATCCGACAGATATGAAAATGTTATATTCAACCTGCTTTTATGCACATTTTTACAAATAGTAATGTGCAACACCAAGTCAAAATGAAGCAAACAAGATCATTTTGTTTCCAGATCATAAAATGCTGCAGACACCCTCAAAAAGGCATCAGAGTCTCATTGTCATGTTGGTTTAACTATTTTGTTCCATTAGATTTAACAGTTGTGAAATGAACTGTCAAGGACAGGGAAGAAAAAAGAATTGCAACAATGCTAAAACTGAACTGAATTCTCCTTCAATCAACTCTTTGAGATAAGGAATTCTTGCAGGCTTGCAGTGACATGCAACACTACAGGCAATATTCAAAACTGTCTTGGTAAATATATCCGACAACAGTTCATGTAGTTGTATTCCTAATCACCGCACAGAAATGTTCTTGCACAATGCAGCAGTTTCTCAGACGTTACCGGCCTTCACATTCCAGGGTACATTTTGATTCTAACAATGTTTCAACTGACAACGCTGGAATTGTATTACAGTACTGTTTTTGTAGTTCTGCTGAAGGTGCAAATCACAAGTTTTAATACTGCACTTAATTTAATCAATTAAACCGCAAAGGATTAAAGCAAGAGCACTTTTGTTGTCCAACTATCACACTTTGAATCATAAATCTGTTTTGATTACTTATCTATTGCTAATAGGAAGGGGCAGAGTGACTGAATCCGTACAGTCAGTAATGAACTCACTCCAGTGAGAAAAAATAGTCAGCAAAATATTTTCACATTAGGATTTCACCTATCCAATTTTTTCATCTTTAGTGAAAGTAACAGAGCACAGAATAAAATCATATTTCAAGCTTCTGATTTTCAAAAATGGAACTAGCTAACAAACCTATTGGGTGAAGTGTAAATCTTTCAACCTGCAACGGGTAACATGTTCTGGATAGACTTGGGTCCACCCCTTGTTTTCCAAATCTAATACATACCCAATGTGTATACCATTTTGGATATACTCCTTCACAGAAGGAAGTGAAATGCATAATTATCCAAATAATATTGAAATGTTGGATTTCCCACACAATAAACCAACTGTGAATGGAACACAATTGATGAATCACATTCATCTTTTTCTGTTTCAAATGGTACAGAAACTGGAAGTGTGTCAAAGAAGCTGTCCATAAATTGGCTCTAATTGGCAATTTCAGGAGCCCTATGAGAACGAATGCCAGCCGAAGTGGGAATGTGATGGACAGAACAGAGCCATTTTCTGAAGCAAGATTGAAACAGAATTCAAACATCTATGTTGCATTCAACCCACGCTGTAGCCTACAGAATGGTGATGGTGGAAAAGCACCCTGTTCACCAAAGGAGAAGAAACACTTACTTTCAGTTTCCCCCTTCCCCTGCAGCACAAAACAAGGCTCCCATGAACAGAGTAATTAAATGAAACAAGTCAAAATGGATCAGGGCTTGTTCCTTGCCAGTCACCCCCGATATCTCTTCAGCAGCTAACACATTCAAAACCAATCCCAGCTTCAATCAGTTAAAACTGCTGATATCTTAAAAATCCTTTAACTCAGATCTAAGCTGTTCCAAAAGTGAAGGGACTTCAACATGCAAGAAAAAAATAAGGAATCTACCAACTAAAATCTCGTTCAAAACCAAAGTAATCTAGAACGTGATGAAATGCAGGTAAAATTCAGTTTTGAAATGTGGCCTTTTTGAAGCTAATCTCTCACAGGAGTTCTGACTGTCCAGCAGCAGCAACTGTCAATACATCGATGTTGAAACAGCTTTCTCTGATAAATTGCTTCAATGCTATTTGCATACATGGAAGAAATTTCTCTTCCTGCAAAATTATGAAGTGTTTAAATCGGTTTAAGAGTTATCAAACTACCATTACTATGAAACTATATTACACAAATTATTCATTTCTGAAAATCATTTCAGTCATGCTTTACAACAAAATTCATTCCTCAAAAGGCACAATGTTCTCCTGAACGACAGATAAAATATCCAAACCTACCTACCTTGTGTGTGTTCAGCCTTCAGTATTACACACTGTCAAGCACGGAACATCAGAACCACAACACCTCAGCCCTGGAACCTTGTAAATGTAGGCACTATAAAAGGAAATGAAATAGAAAACTATCAGGTCTTATTTGAAGACAAAATTAGAAAGTATGAAAGGATAAGAGGGAAGTAATGATCCTCACACCTTCCACTTAACCAATACAGCAGCACCCATCACTATCTCCTCACCCCCAAATGATCTTAAACTTGCTTAAAACCACAGTACATCAAGCACAGCTATTACCAGCCTTGGAGAAGATTCATCAAAAAACACAATAAGCAGTTCTTGCATAGTACAGCAATTCAAGTTTTACAGCCAATTGTTTATGTGGAGTTCTGTTTGTACAATAAAAAACAGTATATACTGATATATTTGCAAGTTTTTAGTCACAAGTAAGGTTCAGAGAAAAACGATCCTTCGATCTCATTCTTACAGAATACCCACATCCTTACAGAAAACTCCTATTCCAGCATTAAATTTCACCCACAAAATATAGTCAATTCACTTTAGTGTATCCTGTGAAGCTCTTTGAGACGGCTCGAAGACGTGATAAGGCGCTACATCAAATGCAAGATTATTATTAAGAGATTTCCTAAATAGTGTATAAATCTTCCCCTCACGAATCAGATCTCGAATGAGGAAAGCTGCAAAAACAGCCGTTGATTAAAAATGAGACGAGTAGTCTAGTCAATAATGGCTTATCTGTTGTGAGGATGACCCACTGCCTTCGCCATTGGCTGTGTCAGACTAAAATTGCATTAGCAATTGAGCAATACTTACACAAATGCAGACACGGCAGCAGAACAAGTACGTTTAGCAATCGTATTACCGCACAAATATCCCCAGAGCAGGTTGAGAATTCATCTCATATAAAGATACCAGGCATGTGACATAACAGGGCAGCAAAAAGTGATGTATAAATATCACCCATATCCAGGGTTACTTCTTGAAACATTAATTTACAGTTGCATTGGATTAATTGCCATTCAGGGTCCAGTTTAGTGGTTACCTAACTGAAGGTAAAGGTTAGGATTGACGATCAGGAAAAATTGGGATTAATAGTTGGGAGATTACACACATGAATCAACCAGATCTGATTTATTGCTATAATTATGCAGAGAACATGAATACCCTGACAACTGTGCCAATAATCATGTTACCAGGATATGAGAAACAGAGCTGGACCAGGCCCGGTGACTGCAGAATAAGCAGATGCTTCAAAACAGAACAAAGTTCAGCTTTTATTAGCTTATTTCAAGGGTAATAGATTAAATGGAAATTTCCAGGGTGGGGGAAGGGAGCAAGAAATACAGAGATATTCTAAAACCCAGAGAAGTACTTGTCAGCAAAGGCAACAAGGCCAGCGTTAAAATATGAAAGGAGAAACAGAACAAAATAAGATAAGAGTCTAAGAGATCTCTTATATTAAAGAATCACTTCGAGTTCACTGACATCAGCCAAGGGTAATGCTGTAAAGGTTATATTTATATTATACAGGGAGTCCTGTAGCTCAGTGGTTAGAGCACTTGCCTGGTTAGAGCGAGAGACCTGGGCTCTGTTCCCTGACAGGGCGAAATGTTGGCAAGTTTCCGTACTCCACACGCCTCTGTTTACCGCGCAGTAAGTAGGAACCCAGTTGTTAGTCGATTGGCAGATCACTTTTCCGGGGTTAATAATAAAATAATAAACTTAAAAAAGTAACAATTTGATCACTCAATTCACGGCTGTTTGTGGGACGCTGCTGTGCGCCATTGGCTGCTGCGTTTTGCCCACAAATATAATCAATTCACTTTACTGTATATTCTGTTAAGCGCTTTCAGATGTTTAGAAGACGTGAAACGCGCTATACACGTATTATTATTATTATTTTGTGGGGCAGATTCCACAGCAGCCACAACGGCTCTGTGAAAGGAATTGACATTTGTTTGCTACCAGCTCTGACCGCTTTATTGTCGGCTCTGGTCAGCAGTCCCCAAAACAAACTGCTCATGACGTTTCTGTCCTTCCTTTGCATTTTAATAAACCTCCCGACACAAAACGACATTACAAGGCAAGCTGCCCCACTCATGTGCTCTACCAGCTTTTAGCTTTAGTGAGAGGGGCATAAGAACAGTTACTCCACAGCAAAGAATGTGGAAGCACAACTGCATTGTGTCCGCTATTTCAAAACAAAATGTTGAAATTAAATTTAAATATCGAAGAAATATTTAAATCGAGCAATACCATTTGTGGTCCAAGGCAGGGTCAGATAAGATTCAAATATACTGCAATTTCAAGTGATCAAAGTAGAAACCTCTGTGCCTTTGTTATCTTTCTAAGCTCTTCAGCTTTCTCAGACTTAAAAGTATCTCCAGATTAGTTTTTTTTTAAAAATGTAGATACGCATTACAGCCAGATCTACAGTCCCTAAAGGAAATAAATTTTAAATCTTCAAAGGAAAAAGTATGCTAATCTTCTAAAATTATACAAGCAGATCAAGTTTTGCTGCTAGCTTTATAAAGTCATTAAGGATTGTGAAGTCCAACATTTTTTCTCCACAACACAATTCGGCAGTGAAACTTACAGATATGAAGTCTCGTCCTGAATATTACCGTACTCGGTTAACAACATGCTTTTTACTAACTGCTTACATTTCTAACACGTTTCAAAGTGTTCAATTACATTCAAAAGTAACACTTTGCTGTAGGAGTATTGAAGACCAATGAAGTGAAAATAGTGCTGTCAGCGTCTGCTTAGTTTCAAAACCAGTTGCCTTTTTTTTAAATAAAAGTCAGCCTCTATAGGTTTTTATGCATTTAGCAACCAGTAATAATAATAATAACCTCACTGACCATCGGTGGTCGAACGTTCAACCTCTCTGCCCCCACACTCGGGAACTCCATCCCACGGTCCCTTGGCCTCGCTTCCTCCCTCGCCTCCTTCAAGGCCGGTCTCAAGACCCTTCTCTTCGATCGTAACTTTGGTCGCCCTCCCACCTCTCTGCCTTCCCTCACCCCTACCCCATCCCTTCCCCCCCCCCCCCGCTCGGGTCCTGACCCCTGACTGTCCAGCGCCTTGGGATGTCCTCCTGACGTGAAAGGCGCTCTATAAATATAATTTTGTCGTTGTTGTACGTTAACACACCACGTGGAAAATATCCGAGGATAATTACTTTACATTCAAAGTAGCTTCCACTTCAAGTTTGCATCTTGAAATTGAACATATAGATAAATTATTCGAACATTATTTACACTACATATGAATTAAATTTGTTTGGTCCTTCTGGGAAACATGCCACGAGTAACATGGATTACCAATACAATACACACCTCAAATTATTTTCAAAGTGAAATACATGAATCTCATCATGTGGCAAATCAATATTCAGTCCACCTTTCACCAAAATACCATCCAATGTATGAGGGCACCTGACAATTGTGTGCAAAATCGTCGGGTTTACCATTTGCCCTCAATAGTGGGTTTCCACTGTACCCGATTCTGAAGATTTTTATGTGTTGAGATTGGTGCTATCGATCCGCATACCTGAAATAAACCCAGCACCAAAGCCTCCAAACACACTAACTCGCAAGAAAATGTTAATACGGCTCAGCATATTTCATCTAAAATATGGGAGAACTTAAACATTTCCTGAGTGTTCATTTTTTTAAGAAAGTGGTAAATTATTCATTTCCTCCAGTTTAAAAAAAAAAGTAAAATATGTAACCAAAATGCAAAATACTGCAGATGTTGGAAATCTGAAACAAAATTGTTGAGCGTTCCCAGGGATTGGGAAGTTAAGTCTTGAAAGTTGTGAAGGGAAGTGCTACCATACCATAGCCCGGGGGGGGGGGGGGGGAGGTGGTGGTCCTCAGTAAATATATGGTAAAAGTTAGGATGTTGTGTTCGAGCACACAATGAAACTTGCATTTGAATGCCAGGAACAGCACAAGAGTTGGAATGATACCAACCCGCTCAGGTCAATGGAAACCAGTTGGAGGCTGGTACATAGGTTACTCGAGCCCTCTTAAACAAATTATAACTTGGCAGATATCTACAAGGCTGCTTTTACAGTGGGATGATATTTCTCCCCAACTTTTAATTTTATAATTCAATACGATGTCCTTCTCCCCTTCCATGTGTTCCCACCTTAAATTATTTTACAAATAGAAGCAGTCATTTAGACAAAAACTGAATGTTAATTCAGCACAGCACTTGGCTCCATTACACACTTCCCATTGCAAGAATGTGCAGCATTGTTATTCAAGTTACATCAACTGGTTTATATGCTTAAATCCTTGAAACGCAGTAAATAAACAGGAGGTATTTTGGTAGCGGTTCATGCCTTGAGAAGCTCAAATTAATTTATCTTTGCAGAAGAGGACAACAATTCAGTTGCAACCAGTGGTAGGGCCATTTTAAATTTAATTCCAGGTTCAGTTCAAATAAATGAATTTACTTAATTTTGAAAGAACATCGAATTAAAGTTTTATTGGAGTGTACACACTGTTTGTGGCCCCAAACAATTTAACACAGAATTTAACTTATTGAAGGTTAATTTATTGAAGGATGAACAGAGACATGGATGACTTAATACACATGAGAGCAAATTGTCTGCATTACTGTATTTGGGATAGGCCCCTTTGCACATAAGCAAACTAGACATAACACAGCACAATCCTCAATAGTTAGACACAATGAAGTATTGGATAATTTCCCAATTGTGTTCACAATATGGTTTTAAAGATGCTCATATATTGCAATGGTCAGATTAATACTCATTTTATTACAATCATACTAGCTTTGTATCCTAATTTGGCCCATTCCCAAAGAATGTCCCTCTCTGAGCTCCTCAACTCGTGTAAGTTAATGCTTTGCTGAGATCAAAGATATTCAGACTATTTTGCAAGCATTTTAGAGGTTCAAGTTCGCAAATTATTGAATTCAATCCCAACGTTAGTCGGTTTTCTGTATTGCCTTTAAAAAAAATGAACAAAATTAAGGCAGTCTATGAATTTGCCAAATTCTACACGCTCTGAAATGCGAGAAACAAGTAATTCTAGATCCAACTCC